GTTGGCTTCACCCAGCACACCAGGTCTGTCCACCAGGCAGCCACATTCACCTCATTCCTTCTCGTTTTAAAGATCTGAAAGGTGGAGGGGTGTGTGTGAGAGAGGCATACACATACAGAAAGGGAGGGAGGAAAGGAACGTTCCACACAAGGCCTGGGCCAGCTAGAGCCGAGAGCCGGGCACTTGGTTTGGGGCTCCCATGTGGCTTGTTGGTGGCGACCAGGACCCCCGCATGCCTGCAGAATGGAGGCTGCAGCCCATCAGTGACATCAACTTTGGCTGGGTTCCCCTGGACTGGGTGGCATCACTGAGCAATGTGGCGGGCAGCTTGCCTGTGTCTTGCTGACCCCAGCAGCTGTGGCTTTGCCTCTGCTCTCTCCCACCCGAGGGTCCCTCCCCACTGATCAGGGTCAATGGAATGCCTCCACTCGCACGCACCTGCCTCCTCCTTCGTGCTCACACCTGCCTGTCCGTGCCAAGGATCCCGGGTTCTCTGCTACTTCCTCTGTGGTTTCCCATCTTTTCTGATTCTAAGGTATTTTCTCACTGAGTGTCTGCACCTGCACACAGCAGAGAAGCCTCCCTTCTCTGTGCTTTGTCTACTAGCTCCCCAAACATTCCCCAGAGCTGCTGCGCTATTACTTTTTTCTCTGAAATTCTTATTTTTCTGGACCTGGTACAGGACCCCATATTGAATGCACTGGGATCCCACGTGGGCGCCACTTCTAATCCCAGCAGCTCCACTTCCCATCCAGCTCCCTGCTTGTGGCCTGGGAAAGCAGTTGAAGACGGCCCATAGCCTTGGGACCCTGCACCCACATGGGAGACCTGGAAGAAGTTCCTGGTTACTGGCTTCAGATTGGCTCAGCTCCAGCCATTGCAGTCACTTGGGGAGTGAATCACTGGACAGAAGATCTTCCTCTCTGTCTTTCCTCCTCTCTGTATATCTGACTTTGCAATAAAAATAAATAAATCTTTAAAAAATCTCATCTTTCTTTTTTTAAAAGATTTATTTTTATTATTATTATTTTTTTATTGGAAAGGTGGATATACAGAGAGAAGAGACAGAGAGGAAGATCTTCTGTCCGATGATTCACTCCCCAAGTGAGCGCAACGGGCCGATACTATGCTGATCCGAAGCCAGGAGCCTCTTCCGGGTCTCCCACGCGGGTGCAGGGTCCCAAAGCCTTGGGCCGTCCTCCACTGCTCTCCCGGGCCACAGGCAGGTAGCTGGATGGGAAGCGGGGCTGCCGGGATAGAACCGGTGCCCATATGGGATCCCGGGCGTGCAAGGCGAGGACCTTAACCACTGCGCCACCGCGCCGGGCCCAAAAATCTCATCTTTCTACCTGAAAGACAGGTGTCCTATCGGCTGCTTTAGTGTCCACATGCCTAGGTCGGAACAAAGCCAGCTCAGGACTCAGTCCAGGGACCCAAGGGCCTGTGCCCACTTGCCACCTCCTGGGGCACATCAGGAAGCAGAGCCCACAGCATCTTCAACGCCGGCACTCCCACCCCCTCACCCTGTCCCTGCCTCTGCATCACAGACCCCCTAAGGCACCATCTGGTTGCCAGCAGGGGCAGTGGTCTCCTGAACTTGCACACCGTGTGCTGGCCTAACACTCCTGAGGCCTGTGTGGTCCAGACAGCGAACGGTTGCTTGTGCCTCTGACAAGTTGACGAAGCGGTCATGTGAATTCCCTCATTGAACTTTTAGAATCTTGTTATTTGAAAGGCAGAGATCTTATGGGCCCAGCATGGTAGCTTAATGGCTAAATCCTTGCCTTACAGCTGCTGGGATCCCATATGGGTGCTGGTTTGTGTTTTGGTTGTCCCACTTCTACTGGGAAAGCAGTCAAGGACAGTGCGAAGCCTTGGGACCCTGCACCTGTGTGGGGGACCGAGATCAGCCCAGCTCTTTCCTGTTGGCCTCCGTGGGCCGACCACAGGCACACAGCACACCATGTCCCCACAGGGACCCCCGTGGAGTTGGCTGAGACCTCAGCCTGGCCTGTTCACTGGCTGTCAAGGTGGGCAGTGGACTGCACCCTGGTCTCTGTCTTTGGATGAGCAGTGCTGGGGCTTCCTTGGTGGGAAGTAGGTGCCGTCCACATTACCTGCCAGCTACATGTGGTGTGCTGGACCTTCAGCTGCCTTACAGCCGTACGGGTGAACCTGGCGTGCAGCATGTACCTGCCAGCCATGTGTGTGTATGTGACCTGCTACGACTGGAGAGTCCAGATAGACGGACATGCCCTCTCGGCAATGACAGTGTCACTGTTGGGTGCGAGGACTGTCGAGAGACCCTCCTGCCTTCCCCTTGCCTAGTCTATGTAAGTTTGTGCTTACACTGCCATAAATGGACATGCTTAGACTCTCTCGGGGGGTTCCTGCTGAGGAACCCATTGTCTGACCCTTTGCTGGGCAGGAAACAAGAAAGCAGACCTGGAAGAAGCGCCTGGCTCCGATCGGCTCTGCTCTGGCTGTTGAAGCCACTTGGGGAGTGAAGCAACACACAGGTTTTGTCTCTCCTCTCTAAATGTCTTTACAATTAAATGCGCACACACATCTTAACAAATACACAGCACCCGTGTCTTCCCGTCACAACAGACGCTGAGGTCTTGACTGCTTCCTCTGCTGGGGGTAAAGGTGCCTGGGGACGTGCGCCCACCAGAAATCCTGCCATCCTGCGGGGAGCACCTGCAGCTCCGGGCCCACAGCCACGGTGTTCCAGAGCCTGTGGCATGCTTGGCAAGGGAACCCGAGGATCCCCCCAATCCTCACTGCCCTTCCTCAGCCACTGCTGGCCATGGGTAGAGCTGGGGCCAAACCCACATACAGGGGCTGGACGTGACACGGTGCTGATCCTGGATGAAGAACTCGGGATTTGGTCCCAGCCAGGCTGGCAGAATCTGGCGCAGGGCTGTTGTGGAGCCCTTCTTAGATGCAATGGGGTAGCCTGGCAAGCATGTGCCACGTGGTGCTGCAGCTGCAGTCTGGCTTCCTGCCAGTGAGCCCAATGTTGCCTCAGCAGCCACATGCGGCCCCCATCGCAGGTGGCAGGGAAGACATGCAGTGACCACACTAACCCAGCCTGACGGTGAGGGTCCTGAGCCCCCAGCTGGTGGCCGTGCCCCTGCAGCCTTCCATCCAGGCGGGTGTCAATGTGTGCACATGGCATGCAGTGTAATGTGTATGTAGCATGTAAGTATGGTAGGTGCCTGTGGCAAGCATGTATGTGTATATAGTATTATTATTACATGTATACATGCACGTGTATTTATTTGAAAAGTAGAATGACAGACACACAGATTGCCCACCCACTGGTTCACTCCCTAATTGTCTAGCGAAGCTGGACCAGGCCAAGGCCTGGAGCCAGGACCCCCACCTGGGTTTGCCTCATGTGTGGCAGGGGCTCAGTGCCCTGAGCTGCCATGTGGTGCCTCCCAGGTGCATGAGTAGGGTACTGGATTCAAAGTGTGGGGGGGCCACGACTCACACCAGGCAGGCGACATGGGATACAGGCAGCTGGGCCACACTGCTGAGCAGTGCGTGTTTTTTAAGAACACAGAAGAGCCCGGCATGGTAACCTAGTAGCTAAAGTCCTCGCCTTGCACGCTCCAGGATCCCGTATGGGTGCTGATTCTTTTTTTTTTTTTTTATTGGAAAGGCGGATATACAGAGAGGAGAGACAGAGAGGAAGATCTTCCGTCCGATGATTCACTCCCCAAGTGAGCGCAACGGGCCGATAACTATGCCGATCCGAAGCCAGGAGCCTCTTCCGGGTCTCCCACGCGGGTGCAGGGTCCCAAAGCTTTGGGCTGTCCTCCACTGCTTTCCCAGGCCACAGGCAGGGAGCTGAAAGGGAAGCAGGGCTGCCGGGATAGAACTGGCGCCCATATGGGATCCCGGGCGTGCAAGGCGAGGACCTTAACCACTGCGCCACCGTGCTGGGCCCCATGGGTGCTGATTCTAATCCTGGCAGCCCCACTTCCCATCCAGCTCCCTGCTTGTGGCCTGGGAAAGCAGTCCAGGACGGCCCAAAGCCTTAGGACCCTGCACCCGCATGGGAGACCTGGAAGAGCTCCCGGCTCTTGGCTTCGGATCAGCTCAGCTCTGGCTGTTGCTATCACTTGGGGAGTGAATCATTGGACAGAAGATCTTCCTCTCTGTCTCTCCTCCGCTCTCTATATATCTGCTTTTCCAAGAAAAATAAATAAACCTTTTTCAAAAAATAAATAAAAGCAGAAGCCAGTAACTGTAAGTAGTGGTGAAGTGGTTGAGGGTGCTGTTGGGGACGCTGGGTTAGTAGCCTGGCTCAATTCCCAAGTCCAACTTCCCGCTAATGAGTGCCTGGGGAGGCAGCAGAGACCCCTTAACTGGGTCCCCGGCGCCCACATGAAGACCTGCTTGAGTTTTGGCTCCTGGCTCTGATACAGCCAAGCTGTTAAGGGAAACTGGGATCAGTGGGTGAGCTTACTGTGTCTCACTAACGAGAAGGAAAGGCTGCACGCGTGTAGCGCAGGTGTGGGCGGCCGCACTGCAGCGGGCAAGGGTGAGGTCCTGAGACGGATCAGTCACGGACTTGCGGTCCAGCACGTGTGAGGCTCCGTTTCACAGCTCTGCCATCATCAGCAACGAAGACGGGAGTGCCAAGGCCAGGGCCCTGACGGGCACCCTCAGGCCTGGGGACCCAACTGGCACAGGTGCACACAGACTGCCTGGGCCCTGGTCACATACACCCCAGATTCTTTTCAATGTGATGTCTCCACAACTGGATGGCCAGGCAGCTCTGGGCGTCTCCAACTTGCAAACGGGCTCCTGGGGCCACTGGGATGCCTGGGACACCCTGCAGGCAGGCCTGTGACACACAGATGAACACAACGCGCTGTGTGTCCTCTCCTGTCTGTAGCCTTAAGGGCCAGCAAGACGGAGGTCAGGGCCGACAGGAGGCAGCTCCACATGATGGCACGCAAGACAGCTCCCACAGACTACAGCAGGACGGTGGCAAGGTTTAATAGAGCATCACACACGAGTGTCGTCTGCGCCTTCTTTGTGCCACTGGGCTTGTGACTTGCTGTAGCGACGACTTCGAGAGCAACAGGTGGATTAAAAACTGTGGCTGGGAGTTCTGAGAGGGGCCAGCTGAGGTGTGGAGGCCTCAGAACCTGACGAAGGTGGCGTCGATCTGCCGCACAGAGGGCAGGGCCAGCATGACCTTGCGCCGGTACTGTGGGTCCCTCTGCAGGGGGTTTCGCTCCAAGTACACGGTCTCCAGGCCCCGGGCCCCCTTCAGCTCGTCCAGGTCACTCCAGCAATCCAGCAGGTTGTCGTTCATCTGGGAGACACGGGTCCAGGTGAGGGCACTGCTGGGAAGGCCGGCTGGCCCAGGAGGGGGCATGCAGGAACAGCCCTCCCCTGTCAGCAGGTTCTGGTGAAGGGCAAACTTGACTTTGCGACCCAGGCTCCCGCAGGTAGATACAGGGAGTGGGTGTGAGCAGGATGAGCTGAGGGCCAGGGAGGGCCAGGCAGGGGTGAGGTGGGCAGTGGACACAGGCTGAGGGGAGAGCCATACTGCCCCCTGGCAGGGCTTGACACTCCAACACTGGCCAGGGTCAGCTGCCCCGCTGTCCCATGTGCCTCTGTGACTGCCTCCTGATCCCTGCTCCTGTTGTCTGGCTTTCCTGCGGGGTCTCTGGCTTCAGTGAGGTCAGTTCTGTGAGCACCAGGGCCGCTGCCTTGAGGATGGTGCTACATGGGTCCCTGGATAGGCTCCCCAGCCCTCCCCGTCCGGCTGCAGCCCCTGGGGCACAGCTCCCTGTCCGCTGGCCTGGCTGGCTTTCCCAACGTTCAGTTTCTGCTTATCCTCAACACACTTGGTGCCACCAGGAGGATCAGCACAGAGGCTCCTTGGTTTCCAGGGGAGCCTGGGGGCAGGGACGCTGGCAGACGAGCACACAGAAGACCTGAGCCAGCAAGCAGCCAAACGGCAGGTTGCTAGGAGTCCCAGCCAGCCCACGGGCCCACGGGTCGCACATGGGCCACAGCATCGGACAGAATTCTGCAGGGCTGCAAGGCAGGGAGGGCCAGAGGCCCGAGATCTCCCCGAGCGCCTTGACACAGAGGACCTGGGCACAGGGACTGCTGTTCAGCCCCTGGTATCTTCTCTCGTGTTGACAGCACCAGCTCCCAGCACACCCAGGGTACACCTCTGGCACAGGGGCAAGCCCCAGGCACACCTGCAGAAGCTGGATTGTGACCTCCAGGCCCTAAGGGTAAACCGCGTCAGCTGTAGCTGGGTGCCCATCGGGGACGTGCCGCTCAGGAGCAGCTGTGGGCAGTCCTGAGGTCCCATAGGGCACACTCCGTTCTGCATTGGCGTGGTTACACTTACCCAGAATTCCTGCAGCTCTGTTAGGTGGCTGACATTTTCAATCTTCTTGATCCTGTTGGATGCGATGTCCAACATGGTGAGTTTGTTCTGAAACAGAAACAGATACCACGGCTGAGCAAGCAGCAAGTGCCCAGGGCCCCGTGTCTAGGCGGGCATGATCCCTCTTCACAGAGCAGGAGCTGTCGAGGGCACATGACTGCCCCATCCTCCCCAGGCGGACACAGTGGCACGGCTACTAAGTAGAATCCACACAGCCATCCGGGGCCCTTGTCACTGCGGGCAGACCCAAGCTCCGTGCTGGAGACGGGCACTGAAGAGGGAATGCTGGCAAGGTTGCACAGTGCCCACCACCGGCCTCTACACACCCCACGCTCCTGGGAGTGAGCGGCACACAGCCCACACTCCTGGGAGTGAGCGGCACACAGCCCACAGGCAGACAGTACAGCACCTGGAGGGCCTCCCACACTCACTGCCCAGGGACACCGGCCTTCTCAGTCTACAGAGCACAATGCTGAACAAAGAATCTGGTCGATCCTCGCTGCTGGAATGCGTTCTCTTGCTGTGCAGTATGTCTCACCAATGCAACTGGCAAATCCTCTCTCCCAGTATCTACTGTCTGCCCACGCTCACCCTCCTTTACTTGTGGCTGTCTTCAGAGTCTCCCGCATTTTAAGGAAGTTAAAAAATACTCCACTGAAAAAGCATAGATCCCTCACACACCCAAACTGGCTGGAAAGCATGATGGCCATGCCTCTGTCCCGCGTGTGCCATGTGCCACATGGACTGGCCGCAGCCTGCAGGGCACCCCACTCTGTGGCTTGTGAGGTAGGTGCATGGTGCTGGGGCTTTAGGCAAAAGTTCCTTGGATGCTAGGAGTTTCCAGGGTGCTCAAGCTCATCTCAGTCACGTGTCCTTGCCCGGGGTCTCTGTGTTGGCCCAGAGCAGGGAGCAGGTGGTGACCAGGGACCACACACCCACATAATTATATGTCTGCTACGGGGAGCCACACCAGGCTTGCAAAGCCCTCCCAAAAAGCAAAGGGGAAATAACTGTTTAAAGGAAGGAGAGGAGGGCTGGGGACACAGAGGCTGCAGCGATCCCAGAAGATTTCAGATCCGTGAAGAGGTCACAGTTAGGACAGGGAGATGGTCACCTCTAAGGGACAACCACTGCTCCCCTCTGTTTTGTCTCAGGCCAAGGGACAACCAGGGTTCCCAATGGGGTGGGGAGCGCCCTCAGGGCCCGCTTTCCCCGGGCACCCCTGCTGGTGACTCAACTCCCCAACTTTCCGAATCCTCTAGTGGCAACATGGCGGCAGCAAGGCCAAAAGCCCTGAATGGGACAGAAAAAAAACACTGGCAACTCAACAGAACCGGAAAAACAACCCACAACAAAACAGTCAAAACAGACTCTGGGTGGCACTGTGCTGAAGCAAGCAGAGCTGCGGTAGTGACCAGGCTGGGAGGGGCACGGACAGCCTCCCAATGGCTGTGTGCCAGGTGGCTGCGCAGTGGGCTCGGGCGGCAGTTGTCACCCCGGCGGTCCTTACGTTGTTCTCCAGGCCCTCGATGACCTCGATGCCGTTGTGGCTGAGGTACAGCTCGCGCAGGTTCACCAGACTCTGAAGACCCTCGATCTTGGTCAGCCGGTTGCTCTGCAAGGGCAGGGCCGACAGTGGTCAGAAGCACATGGGGCAGGAATGCTGGCCTCGGTTGACTTCATAGGTATTCACTGAAGGCTTGTTTGCAAACAGCCAGAGTGGAGGGAGTCAGTAAGCACTCCTCCACCTGTCAGTGCACTTCCAGACAGCACAGCAGCTCGGGATGGCCCAGGCTGAAGCCAGGAGCCAGAAGCCCTGCTGCTGTCCCACGTAGGCTCAGGGATTCAAGGTTTTGGGCCATTCTCCATCTTTTTCCCAGGTAGGAGGCAGGGAGCTGGATGGAAAGTGGAGCAACTGGGCACGAACCAGCTGCCTGTCTCTCTGCCATTCTGATTTTAAAATACATATACATCTTTGGGCCCGGCAAGATGGCTCAGTGGCTAAATCCTCACTTTACACGTGCTGGGATCTCATACGGCCAATGGTTCGTTTCCCATCCAGCTCCCTGCCTGTGGCCTGGCAAAGCAGTGGAGGACGGCCCAAAGCCTTGGAACCCTGCACCCGTGTGGGAGAGCCGGAAGAGGCTCCTGGCTCCTGACTTGGGATCGGCTCAGTTTTGGCCACTGTGGCCACTTGGGGATACTTCTCTCTATATCTCCTCTCTATAAAATGTGCCTTTCCAATAAAATGCACAAATTTAACACACACATCTTTAAGAAAGGGACATTTGCAAGGCAGAGTGATAGAGGCGGAGTAGAGAGATCTTGCATCAGATGGTTTACTCCCCAGATGGCCACAATAGCCAGGGTCGTGCCAGACTGAAGGCAGAAAGCAGGAACTCCTCCCCAGTTTGCGTGAGGAGCCCAAATGCTTCAGCCCTTCACGTGCCTCCCGGGCCGTGAGCACTCACCGGGCTAGAAGCAGACAGCAGGGCTGGCCCCAGCGCTCTAATACACAACGCTGAGGGCAGGGGCAGTGGCTTGCCTCACTGTGCCACTGTACTAGCCTTAACTCAGGAATTCTAAATGTCAAAATTAATGATTTGAAAAGTCATTAGTTCTCATTTCTCTCAGCAGAGGTCTGTTCTTACATGCCCATCCTGGGATCAGTGGAACCTGCCAGAACTCCATACATGGCAGGGCTGGCCTTGAGTGGCTCAGCACATACGCCACAATCTGAGGGGGGGTTGTCCTGGAGGTTAAAACCACTTGATGCTGCCCCTGGGAAAAGGGTCAACAGGTGTGTGAGCAATTGAAGTGTGTGTGTGCCCATGTGTGATGTCTGTGTCGTTTGTATGTATAAAACATGTGTAATGGAAGAGCAGGGCCAGAGTGGGGACTGCATTCTGGTCTGGATATGGCTGCCATCGCCCTTGGCACAAGTGTGAACTGGGACTGGGTGCTCTAAGCCAGGCTAGACCCCAGCACCACTGTGCTCTGGAGAACCTGGGTAGAGGTAGGATGGACTGGGCCAGGTCTCTGCCCCTACTGCGCTATGTGCGAGCAGTGTCTCGGCATGGACAAGCCTTGGCTTGGCTGAAACATGCAACGGTAAGAACTGAAATGGACTGAAGGCTAGCAAGGAGGGCTGGCCCATGGACCCACCAGTACGCACAAGATCTGGAATAGGGAGAGGTTCTGATGGAGGAGCTGGGGAAACTTCTCTGTCGGGACACAGTCCCTGTAGGTGAGTGCAAGAACCATGACAGGGAGCAACCCAGACCAGGCCAGAGGAAGATACCCATTGGCATACACTTGGCACAGGTCAGGGGCAGACCAAGCTGAACCAGTTCGCATCACCCGCTGGTGAATCTGAGCACCAGAACAGAGTGTGGGAGGGCCAGGTTTGGTCGCGACACAAACCAGTGCACATTACGGAATGCCAAGGTGAGGTGAGCTGTATCAGAAGTGGTTGCAATGCCCAACCAGCACACGTGGGAACAAGGGACGGAGGGGGCAAAGTCGGCAAGGGGAATGTGAGCGCCACGGCTGGACAACCACTCCCATTGGAGAGCGTCAGTTGGGATGGGGCAGACCAGACCAGGCAGGGCTACAACACCTGTGGGCCTCATGTGAGCCAGATCAGGGAAAAGCCAGTTGGGCTGGTATAAGCAAAATTAGAGTGGGTGAGGGTTGGTTGAGCTTTGCCACAGCATCAGCTGGCAGAGGCTGGCACTGGGGGCTAAATCTGTCAAGTTAAACTCCAGAACCACCTGGAGAGTGCATAATCCAGGAGTGGGAGTGGCCTAGTAGCAAAACAGTGGGCACCTCCCTCGTGGGTTATCGCTCCCGCTGGAGAGCATGAAAACCAGGACAGGGGCAGGGGTGGCAGACAGAAAGGCACCAGCCAGTATGTGTGGGCTGGATAGTAGGGTTGGGTGGGTTGAACTAAGCTCCAATGCCCATTGACATGTATGAGAGCTAAATGGGACGTGGGACAGACTCAACAAGTCTGCGGTACATACTGGCAAGCATGGGAACCAGGGTAGGGGCAGGCCTGGTGGGGGTTATGGGGAGTTACCCCAACTAGGCTGCAACTCCCACTGGTTTGCGTGAGGGCCGAGTATGAAGTGGGCAGGATCAGGCTGGACTGCAACACCCATTGGTTTGATGCAAGACAGGGCTAGAAACAGAACTGACCCAGAAACTGTAATGACCAGCATGTGTATAAGCTGACTAGGGCGATGGATGGTGCCGGACTCTGTACTAGCAAGTACATACAAGAATCAGGTCTGGGATCACCTCAGACGAAATTTCTTTGGAGATGCCTCCAACTGAACTGCTGATCTCAGAACCCCAACCATGAAGAGACTATGTCAGCCAGTGGATTCTGAAGAGATTTCATCATGCTTGGAATGGCAAGATTGGCAGCAATTCAGAACTGTTGAACTATCAAAACTGCTCAAGCAGGCCCCTCGTAGCATGCCCCACATCAGGGACCTGGGATGGGTGGAAGGTTGGGTGGGGCTTCTCCCTGTTTCTCCCCTGACCCCAGATACAGGGGGAAAATGATGTTAGTGTGGAGACAACGGTCTTGTCCACTTTTCAGTAGCTCCTGACCCTTTGTGCCTTAGTCAACTATGTAAGATTATAAAAAAAAATTAAAAACAGCATATGTGATATGTACATGTGTGAGCTTACCATGTGTATCTATGATGCATGTGTGTGAAGCATGTGTGTCTGAGGTGGAAGTGTGTGTGTGTTCCACAGGACCTGAGGTCTCTGTCGGAAGCCCAGCACTGAGGAGGGGCAGAGGGGGGGCGGGCCATGCCTGCGGGTCTGGCTGCTGCGCTCAGAGGGGCTGGGAGCTGGGACCAGTACCTGCATGCTGAGGACAGTCAGGTTGGTGAGTGCATCCAGGTTCTGAAGTTTAGTAATTTTGTTTTTTCCCAAAAACAAACTCTGCAGACTGGTTAGTGTGTCAATGTTTTCAATGGCCTGTGGAGTGAACAGGGCAACGTGAGAGACAGGATGACAGCAGGCAAGTCACGCACCCGCTCTGCAAACCTGTCGCTACATCACACCAGAAAGAACAGAGCAAAACAGGGAGAGGATGGGGAGCAGCCTGCCCCCCATGTTCCCAGAGCTCTGGGTCTGGGCATGCCCTGAGGAAGTGGACGCCTCAGAGCCCAGCAGGTCATGTGGTCTGAGAGCCTCGGTCTCCACAGGGAGCCCCCAGCTGACACCCTGCCTGAGCGAGTTCCTCCATCACCGTGCACCCCTATGGCCAGGACCACGCTGCCAGTCTGCCCTGCCCTTGGTGCCCTGGGCAGAGTGGGCTGCTGAGTGACTGCTGAGTGACTGGCCCAGTGTTCCTCTTGGAACAAGCTACAATGTTTCAGTTGACAAGGTAACCCAGTGAGGATTTGGCTGTTGGGACCATATGCATGTCGCCACTCCATCCCCCCTGAGCTGTTAAGTCTCCTGAGAGCTGTCTGTCTGTACCCCAATGGCCCCCTGCGGTCCACAGCCCACCCTTGCTCCCAGCAGCCTCAGAGCAAGAAGGCTGGGAGTGGGGGCGCCAGCTGCCCACTGAAGCAGAGGCTCCTGGCCATGGTAACCATGGGGATGCTAGGTGTGGACACGTAGGCCTCTGCCCACAGAAGTCCTTATTCCTGATAAAAGCAGCCTGCTCCTCTCAGCCAGCACACTCCCCAATGTCAGGCCCTTTGGTGTCCTCTCCTGGGCTCTGCTCGGACCATGCCACGGGCCCTCCACGGTGGAAATAGACACCGCACGCTGCTTCTATGAGCACCAAACTGTTTCTAATAGTCTTGGGCCACATGAACCCCAGAGTAGAGTGGACCCCACCGGGCTGGAGGCCATCTGAGCAGGCTCCCCTGTTCCCCAAATTCTGGGGGTGTCATTGCAGACCCGACGGACACTGACTTCCAGTTACCATTCCGGGAAAAAGCCCAAGGCAAGTGGCCCACGCGGCCTACCCGGATGCGGTTCGAGCCCAGCTCCAGCATCTGCAGCTCCTGGAGAGCACTCAGGTTCTCAATCTTAGTGATTTTATTGTTGACCAAGAAGAGCTTCTTCAGTCGGGTCAGTTTGTCGATCCCTTCAATGTTTCTTAGCAGATTAAAAGAGATATCTAGAATCCTGGGAACAAGAAAACATTTCCTCCTTAATGAGCTCAGGCTGCACATAACTTGGAGCTTACCACCTGCCAGGGGTGCCACTGACCCTGCCACTGCCTACCCGCAGGGGACCATCAGGAACGGGGCGGGGCTGCCCACCGGCCCCCTGGACCGAGTCTGCACAAGGCACTGGGGAAGTGCCTGTGCCACAGTGGGCAGGGCTCAGGGAGAACTGGGCCTGGCTCGGCTCCTTCATTCTTAGGCTTACAACAACCATGTATTCTTATGTCTTAATAAGCGGTGGCTGCCCCTGTGGTGCAGTGGCTAACATGCCACTTTAGACCCTGGGCTCCAGCCCTGCTCATGTGCACTCCTGGGAGGCAGCAGGCATTGGTTCCTGTGCCTGGGTCGCTGCTACCCACACAGGAGACCAAGCAGGACCTCCAGGCTCCTGACTGTGGCCTGGCCCAGCCCTGGCGTGGTGGCCATTTGGGAAGGGAACCAGCGAATGGAAAAGCTCTCTGTCTCTGTTTCTGTCTTTCTGCCTTTCAAATAAATTAATTTTCTCAAAAAGCATTCAAAGGGCAGTTTTTTTGTTTTTTTTTTTACTGGAGAGGCAGAGAGAGGGACGGGGAGAGGGAGGACGGAGGGAGGAAGAGAGGAGGCGAGAGGGAGAGAAACAGACAGGGGATAGAGATGGAGGAGCAACAGAGAGAGACTGAGGGACAGAGAGCAAGCTCCCATCCACGTCCTCTCCCCAATACCTGCGGTGGGCTGGGCTGGGCCAGAGCCAGGAGCTCACTCCAGGTCTCCCACAAGGGGGCAGCAACCCAGTTACTCGCGCTATCACTGCTGCCTCTGAGGGTCTGCATGAGCAGGAGGCGGGGATCAGACACTGGCAGTCTGATAGGAGCGGTGGGCATCTGAACTGTTAGGCCACCTGCCTAGAAAGGAAACTGGGGTTAAGGCTCCCGCCGGGGAGCAGCCTGCCCGCAAGCCAGCAGTATACCCCCAGTGGCAGCCCAGGGTGGGGGGCCACACCCAGGGCCCAGAGCTGGGCAGGTGCTGGTTCTAGGGACACCAGCTGCTCCCACCCAGCCACCCCTGACCACCCGGCGGGGGTGCATGGTCTCCCAACTCACTCCAGCTCTGTCAGGGATTCTAGGTTCTCAATCTTCTTGATCTGGTTGTCATAAAGATCCAATTCGCGGAGACCACGCAACTCGTCCAGGTTCTCAATGCACTTAATGAGGTTCTGACGAAGGCACAGCGTCTGTAGACATGGACAACAGTACACTGGGGGCTGTGAGCACCTGCACGGTTACTGGGGTGCAGTGGGGGCTCTGAGCACCTGCATGGTTATTGGGGCACAGTGGCAGCCATGAGCACCTACATGGTTACTGGGGCACAGTGGGGTCCGTGAGCTCTGCTGGCGGTCACTGGGGCACAGTGGGGGCATGAGCTCTGCTGGCGGTCACTGGGGCACAGTGGGGTCCGTGAGCTCTGCTGGCGGTCACTGGGGCACAGTGGGGTCCGTGAGCTCTGCTGGCGGTCACTGGGGCACAGTGGGGTCCGTGAGCTCTGCTGGCGGTCACTGGGGCACAGTGGGGGCATGAGCTCTGCTGGCGGTCACTGGGGCACAGTGGGGTCCGTGAGCTCTGCTGGCGGTCACTGGGGCACAGTGGGGGCATGAGCTCTGCTGGCGGTCTCTGGGGCACAGTGGGGTCTGTGAGCTCTGTTGGCTGTCACTGGGACACAGTGTGGGCCGGAAGCTCTGTTGGCTGTCACTGGGGCACAGTGGGGGCTGTTACTGGGATCTAAGGCCAGTCTTCTGGCAGAGGTATTTTGTTCTTTGTTGTCCAGCCAGGGGCTGCACTTGACAAGGCAGCCTTATCCACCCTCAGGTGGGGAGACCCCAGAGGAGGCTGTGGTGGCCTGTGAGCAGTGGAGCCCCTGGAGGGTCCACTTGTAGGGGGATCCCAGACTGAACTCGAGGGAGCGCCTCACAGGGATGGGCTCAGGCCACAGGTAGGCCTGGGCTCACGTTGCACCCACCCTGTGGCCCTCCGAGAGCTGCAAGGTGCTGGGGAGGAGGTGGGGCCTGCCCTCACCTTCACCTTCTTCAGCACCTCAAAGCCTTCGATCTTCCCGATGCGATAGTGGTTCAGGTCGACGTCCTACGACAAAGTGACCAGGTGAGTGGTCGCTGGGCCCAGAGGAACAGCCACACCAGCTCTCACAGGAGGCTCAAGTGGATGACAGCGAGGAGAGACGGGGGCTGCGTCAGGCGCAGCAGTGACAAGGGGCGAGCTGCCAGTCAGTGCTGTTCAATTCAAGTGCGACCCCACCAGGTTTACACAGGACTGACCACTCAGAGGATTTCTGTGTCACTTTGTCCTCCCACCTCCCAGCCTCAGCACAGCACGTCAGGACTAGACTCTGAGGAGAGTGTCCCAGCAGCCAGACACTAGGCCAGGCTCGGTCTGTCCCTCTGCCCATGCTGCTGCTCTCACAGGCTGGGGAGGCACCACACAATCATGGGTTCAAATTGTTCGTCATTCACCACCCAGCCCTCAAGGGTAAACACAGGTGGGACAGGGTCCACTGCTAGCAGCCACAAGAGACACGCGTGTCAAAAGCAAACATCCAGGGTGAGCTGGTGAGCACCAGGAACCCGGGGTAGCACAGGGGTGTTACCTCCGCGTCTTTGTCCAGGTGAATGGTCTCCATGTCCACAGCCAGCTCATGTTCCTCTGAAAAAGGAGAGGGAAAGAGGGAATGTGGTCAGAACCCTGCCGGCAGTTGGCAGTCCAGGGGAGTCCAGGGCAGAGGACAGAGTTGGCACGATGCGGTCCTTGCATCATGGTGACCAATGCTGTCCCACCTCTCCTGGTACCTCCGAATCTGCTGGGAAGGAAGCCACCAGCCCCGCCTCACCCCCTGATGGCCATGGTGCAGCCTGCCTCTCCCCACGTGCCCCTTCCCACTCATCAGGCCCCTGAGGTGGAGTGCTGGCCTGACCCCATCCTGGGTCCTTCTATCCAGTCAGGCCGTGAGGGAGAGTACTTCACTGACAGAGACGGGCCAGGAGCTCCCCTGCCAGCCAGGAGGCCATCACCAGACTCATTCCAGAAAGCTAGCTCTCCTTGCCCATGGGACTGTGGGGTTGGGGAGCAGCCTTCATTAACAGGTCCTCCCTTTCATTTAAGCTCATGTGGGAAAGCGACTGAGACACAAATACACCACATATAGCTACACACGTGCACACAGTGACAGCCAGTCACAGATGACACCACACATGTGCACACGATAACAGCCACACACAGTCATACATGCACACACAATGACAACCACACATTCACACATGTACACACAATGACAGGCACACAGCTACGTAGTCAAAAATATGACACAAAATATACACATATCACACAATGACAGGCACACACAGATACATTAAAAAAAAATCCAAAGATATGACACCATGCACGCTTCCTGCTGCACTCAAAGCCATAAACACGGCTATAAACACACACACACACACACGGAGACATGCAGTCTGATACAGACACAAGGTAATGCAACAACAAAGAAGCACAAAGAGCCCCATGAACACACACAGCAGAGGCTGACGTTCTGGGAGACACTGTGAATGAAGGTGCTTCTTCTCCACAAAAGGGCCCATGCTCACCCTCTCTATGTCTTACTAGTCTGCAGTCTGGAAGAAATCAGACTCGATTAATGCCAGGTGCTGACAGAGTACTGCTCTGTGAGGGTGTCAGGTGTGTGGTCTGACTGTGACACTGTCCCCTGGTCTGTGAGGGGTGTCAGGTGAGGAGTGTGGTCTGACTGTGACACTGTCCCCTGCTCGTTGAGGGGTGTCAGGTGAGGAGTGTGGTCTGACTGTGACACTGTCCCCTGCTCGTTGAGGGGTGTCAGGTGAGGAGTGTGGTCTGACTGTGACACTGTCCCCTGCTCGTTGAGGGGTGTCAGGTGAGGAGTGTGGTCTGACTGTGACACTGTCCCCTGCTCGTTGAGGGGTGTCAGGTGAGGAGTGTGGTCTGACTGTGACACTGTCCTTTGAGGGGTTTTCACTGCCCTACACTGTCCTACCTGGTTCCAGTCAGCTTCTTGGATCCCAGTTCCTGGGATGCAGCGTTGACTCCCCGACACTCACACTGTGACCTGGACTGGGGTGTCTGCTACTGGCTTCAGCCTCCCCCAGCACTTGGGGAGAGAACCAAATGTTGCAAGACCCTTGGACAAACTACAAAGGGAGTCACTTGTGATAGCTTACATCCTGATTTTCCAACATAAAACCAACCCAAGTCATACATAATAATCATGTGGGGAACCCTGGAGACAGACGCAGGCCCACAGCACAGTAAGAAGTCAGCAGTTCACGAACTGCAGGGGCACAGCTGAAGAGCACAGCAACTGACTTGGCTGAACCTGCTGGTTCATGCACAACTCTAGAAGGCACAGTGGGTAATGCTGGCTGCCTGAGGACAGGCAATCCCCAGCCAGGGGTGTGGGAGCCGGTCATTCAGGCTGTAGCCAAGTGACGGTGTGTGACCCTCCTCAGCATGCAAACTGCATGACTGCATCCTACTGTAGAGCAGGGGCCACTGCACAAGCTCTGCCACCTCACCAGCACCCTGGCAGCTACAGGGACAGAGGGGCCCAGCAGAGACGGACAGAGGGCCCAGCAGAGACGAACAGAGGGGCCCAGCAGAGACGGACAGAGGGCCCAGCAGAGACGGACAGAGGGCCCAGCAGAGACGGACAGAGGGCCCAGCAGAGACGAACAGAGGGCCCAGCAGAGACGGACAGAGGGGCCCAGCAGAGACGGACAGAGGGCCCAGCAGAGACGGACAGAGGGCCCAGCAGCACAGATGGACAGAGGGCCCAGCAGAGACGGACAGAGGGGCCCAGCAGAGACGGACAGAGGGGCCCAGCAGAGACGACAGAGGGGCCCAGCAGAGACGGACAGAGGGCCCAGCAGAGACGGACAGAGGGCCCAGCAGAGACGGACAGAGGGCCCAGCAGAGACGACAGAGGGCCCAGAGCAGAGACGGACAGAGGGCCCAGCAGAGACGGACAGAGGGCCCAGCAGAGACGGACAGAGGGCCCAGCAGAGACGGACAGAGGGCCCAGCAGAGACGGACAGAGGGGCCCAGCAGAGACGGACAGAGGGCCCAGCAGAGACGGACAGAGGGCCCAGCAGAGACGGACAGAGGGCCCAGCAGAGACGGACAGAGGGCCCAGCAGAGACGGACAGAGGGCCCAGCAGAGACGGACAGAGGGCCCAGCAGAGACGGACAGAGGGCCCAGCAGAGACGGACAGAGGGCCCAGCAGAGACGACAGAGGCCAGCAGAGACGGACAGAGGGCCCAGCAGAGACGGACAGAGGGCCCAGCAGAGACGGACAGAGGGCCCAGCAGAGACGGACAGAGGGCCCAGCAGCACAGATGGACAGAGGGCCCAGCAGAGACGGACAGAGGGCCCAGCAGAGACGGACAGAGGGCCCAGCAGAGACGGACAGAGGGCCCAGCAGAGACGGACAGAGGGCCCAGCAGAGACGGACAGAGGGCCCAGCAGACAGAGGGCAGCAGACGGACAGAGGGCCCAGCAGAGACGGACAGAGGGCCCAGCAGAGACGAACAGAGGGCCCAGCAGAGACGGACAGAGGGGCCCAGCAGAGACGGACAGAGGGCCCAGCAGAGACGAACAGAGGGCCCAGCAGAGACAGACAGAGGGCCCAGCAGAGACGGACAGAGGGCCCAGCAGAGACGGACAGAGGGCCCAGCGGACAGAGGGCCAGCAGAGACGACAGAGGGCCCAGCAGAGACGGACAGAGGGCCCAGCAGAGACGGACAGAGGGCCAGCAGAGACGGACAGAGGGCCCAGCAGAGAGACAGAGGGCCAGCAGAGACGGACAGAGGGCCCAGCAGAGACGGACAGAGGGCCCAGCAGAGACGGACAGAGGGCCCAGCAGCACAGAGGACTGACGGCCAGCAGAGACGGACAGAGGGCCCAGCAGAGACGGACAGAGGGCCCAGCAGAGACGGACAGAGGGGCCCAGCAGAGATGGACAGAGGGGCCAGCAGAGATGGACAGAGGGGCCAGCAGAGACGGACAGAGGGCCCAGCAGAGACGGACAGAGGGCCCAGCAGAGACGGACAGAGGGCCCAGCAGAGACGAACAGAGGGCCCAGCAGAGACGGACAGAGGGGCCCAGCAGAGACGGACAGAGGGGCCAGCAGAGACGGACAGAGGGGCCCAGCAGAGACGGACAGAGGGCCCAGCAGAGACGGACAGAGGGCCCAGCAGAGACGGACAGAGGGCCAGCAGAGACGAACAGGGGCCCAGCAGAGACGGACAGAGGGCCCAGCAGAGACGGACAGAGGGGCCAGCAGAGACGGACAGAGGGGCCCAGCAGAGATGGACAGAGGGCCCAGCAGAGACGGACAGAGGGCCCAGCAGCACAGATGGACTGACGGCCCAGCAGAGACGGACAGAGGGCCCAGCAGCACAGATGGACTGACGGCCCAGTGCAGTGCCTCTCTACTCTTTTTCTCACCCACACCTTTTCCGGAACACGGACTCAAGCTCCCAAGTGACTCTGAGACTGTCATTCTGATCCCACCTTCCTTTTTAAAGGGAGTTTTCTAAGTTGCCATGGTTACCAGTCATCTTCGCCAAGTCAGAAAGCAGTGTTGCTTCAAAATCAGCTGTGTCTAGAGATACATTCTTCCAGAGGGGCTGTGCATGATCAGACTGAGCATGTGTGGGAGCGGCAGCCCGTAGTGCCCGCCCACAGGCGCCCCAGCATGCGCACACCTTCCCTTGCAGGGATGTGTCATCCTCATTTTCTATTCAACTAAAAATAAGATCTCAACGTGTGTGCTGCTTAGAAACTTGCTTATTTTATCCAGCCACCCGCTGTGAGCATCCTCTCGCATACACAAGGATTCTCCCATTCTTTGCAGTACGCACTGTCTAGGCACCGAGAAAAGCCGGGCCATTATACGGGCTGAAAGCTGACTGCTTGTTTGACTTGAGACTGCTGCTGTCCCTTGCAGGGCGCTGGGCCTGACACCTGGGGGTGGAGGAGTCAGGTGCGTGGGCCCTGAGGGCTTCTCCCCCTGCGGCCGAGCAGGCAGCCTGCTGACGTCACACCTGGCTTCGGGACATGCCTGGGCTCAGCGGTACCTTGTGGGTTCTCTTCACCCTGCTGCTCCCCGTCCTTCAGGCTCTGCTGGCTGAGGTCTGCCACAATGCCGCTGCTGTGTCTCTTTCCTTCATCGTCACCTGACTCCTCTGATTCCACTCTCCTGTCAACTGAATGCACACACCAGTGAGGACTCCTGGACGGGGCTGCCCCATGTAGCAGGGTTAGCCACGGCCCGTGACTCAGGCCGCCCCATGTAGCAGGGTTAGCCGCGGCCTGTGACACGGGCTGCCCAGGGAACACCAGCCTCATCCAGCCACTGCTCACCGAGGCAGTGAAACCCCCACAGGGAAGGCTCCCTGCTTCTGGCTCTAGCCTGGCCCAGCCCTGGCTGTGGCAGCCATGTGGGAGTGAACCAGCGGATACAAGAGTTGCTCCTTCTGTTCTGTGACTGTGTTTCAAAAAGCATGTTCATACTGTCTTGATATAGCTGCCCACGGCTATCTGCCTCCCATTGGTATGTCTAAAAGATCTCATTCCCACCACGTATTAGGGCAGGACCCACAGTGCAGGGCATTAGGCCTAGAAAGGGACTCACTAAAGGCCAAGTGGTGTCCACTGCTTGCGTGGAAGCAAGGGCAGGGAGGTGCCTCATGGTCCTCTGCCACACAGCCTCATCAGTGTCAGCCTGGCACACAGGACAGTATCCAGGAGGCCAAGATGGGCTCAGGTCAGACTGTGGGTGGCAAGGTCGGAGGAAGGCAGAGGACAAAGACAAGTGCCAAGCACGTTGAGGCCTCAGATACAGTGCTGGCCCTTTGCAACTTCCAAAGGCTGGCATCGAAAACACGTAGGCGGCCACAACAGCGTCTCTCGTGACCCCTTCTGAAGTGTATCTGCAACGCTGACATCCTAACCTGTGACAGGGACGCAGGCCAGGGAACGCCTGTGATAAAGAACTGCGCCCTCGGTGAGTGGGAGGTCATCTAGCTGGTCCTTGTATGTCATGGTGGGCTTGCCAAGTGATGCCCAGGCAAGGACTGCTGAACTACATGAACGCTAAGGGTCCATCTCTACAGTCACTTCCGGGAGGCCGGCGCCCCTGCCAGATTCTGATGCGATGTCACACTTTGACCCCAAGATGTTTCTGGAATGGCAGCCACTCGCCCCGTCACCAACAGGTGTGGGCACCTGGGAGGAGCGGGAAGCCACGTGAGGGCCGGGGGAGGGGGACAGTGGCATCAGACGGCAGATCAGGGTGTAAGCGGGGACACGGGAGGAAGAACCTGCCGGCCAGCCTCCTGTGTGACGCCTGGCTCCCCTTCACCGCCCTTTGCTCTCACCCCACCTGTCCCGCGCCCTGTTGACGCGTCCCCTCGGGTCCAGCCCGGCCACTTTGCTGGGAGGTCCGTGCCCATCGGATTGCACCTCAAACACAGGTGGGGTCTTCCAAATGGCCCCGGAAAATGCCCATCAGGAAAAGGTGTAAACATTGGCGAGCTTGCTCAAGTCCGGACACGGCACACACGTGTCCGCCCCGTGCGGGGCGGACAAGCAGCAATGGATGCATTTTCCTCCCGGCAAAGTAGAGGAGCCCTGGAGCCCTGGAGCCCTGAGCAGCGGGCGCCGGTTCGCGGGACCGCCGCCTGGCCCCGACCCCGCGCAGCCGGGCTCTCGGCGCTGCCCCGCCGCCCCCGCCCGCAGGGCCCCCGCCGCCGCCCGCGGGGGCCGCTCACCCTCCATCATCTCCTGCGACTGTTGCTGCCCAGCGCCGCGCTCCGCCGCCATATTGGCTGCTCGTCCTCTTCCCGGAACCCGTCGCCTCAGGCCCAACAGCCAATCAGAGCTCCCGGCCCGGGGCGGGTCCGGCCAATGCGACGCCGGCGCGCGGGTTGGGCCCCGGCGCGCCTGCGCGGCCGCCGCGCCTCATGGGAGCTGTAGTTCCGACGCGAGGCCGACTGCCGCGCCTCGCAGGGTGGGTGGTTGCAGGTGGCGGAGTCCGGCGGCCTGAGGCTCGGAGTGGGACTGGCGGGTTGCGGGGCAGCTGTGCCGCCGGGCCCGGGCGCGCCTCCCTGGCTTCAGACGGCAGGTGCAGGTTGCCTTGCACGTCCCCGCGCGGGCCTGACCTCCGCGGACGCCTTGGGCCGCAGAGCCTGTGCAGGAGGTCCTCGCCTCGGGACGGGTCGCCGGCAGATGGCTTCGTGCCGCCCTCCCTTCCCATCTCTTTTGGCTCCTTCGGAACTCCGTAGGTCGCGTCCAGTGCGTCCCTAGCAACCGTTAGCGCGGGCCTGTAAGCGCCGGATCGCCCCGAGTCCCGCCCACCGGCGCCAGCTATTGGCCTGCGCGGGCAGTCAATCGTCGGGTGCCGCTCTGCGATTGGCAAGTGGGCTGGGCGCGCGAATCGCTTTCCTCCCGCGGTCGTGAGGGGCGCCTGGCGGCGCGACCGTGGCCGACCTCAGGTGAGGGACTTGCGCTCGGGAAGGCGGCCGAGCCGCGGCGTTCCGCCGGCGGTGTTGGTCCCGTGGTCCTCCCGCCCGGGGCAGAGAGGCACCGGGAGCCTCCAGCCCCGACTCGGTGCGCGGACGGCGCTCGGCCCCCGCGGCCGGGCCCTGCTGGCGGGGTGCTGGCGGTTTGTCCGTCCGCGCGTCCACGCTCTGCAAGCCGGGGTGGCTCCCTTTTCGGACCGGCCCTGCGGGTGGCGGCGCCGCAGCCGCTGGGCATCTTTGGCTGTCTGCCCAGCAGCCCTCCCCGAGGTCAGCGCTGGGAGCAGACGGCCGGGGTTCATTTCCCTGCCCCGTAGCCTCAGCCAGCTTTGTGAGCGGTGTACCCGTGTGGGCTCCCTGCCTTTCCTCCTGCCCTTGCTGCCCACCCACCCGCGCTTTGTCCCCACGCGGCCCTGCGGTGGTCTGGGGAATGCTCACTAGTGGTGTCCCCTCCGCTGAGTGCATCCCCACGTGGCCCTGCCGTGTTCCTGTGGAACGTTCCCGGCCATGTCAGTCCCCAGCGTGAGGCCTCTGGGTCCTGCCCAGCCATCCCCAGGAGCTGTGGCATGCCCTCCATCCTGTGTCACGTGCCCTGACCCTGCGGATCTCTCCAGTGCCTTGAGGCTCAGGTCTCCTGGTCCTCCCCCAGGAGGCCCCTGCTAGTTCTCCTGTCTATTTGGAAGGACTTGGCCCCCTGGTCACCCTGAATGTCCCTTCAGATGCCCTGATACGGGGAACAGGCAGGAGGGGAGGCTGACTCCGACAGGGTAGGGGACTCGAGGAGGTGTGACTAGCGGGCTCCAGTTCCCGGGTGTGTCGTCCCAGCTGATTTCTGTTCCCATGTCCCCCATCCATGCCAATTCCTGCTGGGCCTGCCCACACGGGAGCCCGTGGCTCTGCTCCCATGTCCCCTACACTGGTACCCACCCCACTCCACCCCACCCCAGCTGGGTCTGCCCACGAGGGAGCCCATGGCTCTGCTCCCATGTCCCCTGTGCTGGTACCCACCCCACCCCGGCTGGGCTTGCCTCCCCACCTCCACAAACTCTCACTTTGCAGAAGCCCCTGCTCCTACTGGGTCACCATGGGATCACTTGTGCCTGGCAGGGCAGCTCTGCAGCACCATTGGGGCTTTGGGCGTAATGTCCCATGTCCGCCTAGGAAGGGAAGGGCAGAAAACCGTGCCCTGACCCCTGTCTAGTGAGCATTGGGTCCCGAACGCCTGTGAGAAGTCAGGTGCCCCAGTGCTGGGAAGCCAGCCCCAGCTCGCTCTCAGCGGCCCTCCTGGGGCTGGCGCACTGGGTACACTGCAGCAGAGCCGGAAGCAGTCAGCCCCTGGCCGCCCTGCCCACTTAGCCCCTGGCCCTGCCGAGCCTTGGGGCCCAAGCGCCCACATGCTTCTCTGTCAGGGTCTCCCCTCGTTCCTGTTTTGTCAGGAGGGTTCTAGTGTTTCTGCCTTCCCCTTTTCTTTTTGAAGATTTTATTTTCATTTGAAAGGCAGAGTTACACAGGAGAGAGAGCTTCCATCCACTGCTTCACTCCTCAGATGACCTCGCCCGCAGGAGCTGAGCCAGTCTGGGTCTCCGTAGGAGTGCAATGTAGACTCCGCATGCTTGGGCCCGGCACAGTAGCGCAGTGGTTAAAGTCCTCGCCTTGCATGCGCCGGGATCCCATATGGTTGCTGGTTCTAATCCTGGCGGCCCTGTTTTCCATCCAGCTCCCTGCTTGTGGCCTGGGAAAGCAGTTGAGGGACCCTTGGGACCCTGCACCCGTATGGGAGACCCGGAAGAGCTCCTGGCTTCGGATTGGCTCAGCTCCAGCCATTGCACTCACTTGGGGAGTGAACCATCGGATGGAAGATCTTCCTCTTTGTTTCTCCTTCTCTATGTATATCTGCCTTTCCAATAAAAATGAATAGATCTTAAAAAGACTGCGCATGCTCTTCTGGAGAAGGTGCAGTGTAGATTCCTCACGCTCTGCTGAAGAAGGGTGCAGCGTGGGTTCGGCACGCTCTTCCTGCCAGCCATGGACTTTTGTTCCTTGTGGATCTGACCTGAGACCAGTTTGGGACATGTGCCCTGTGTTCCCAGTGCAGCCTGTAAGGGGCGTGGCTGTCTACACACGCTGTGACACATAGCTTGCAGGCGTGTCTCCTGGGGTAGGACCACGTCGCTGTCCTGCGGTGCAGGCGTTTTCTGCATTGGTTTTAATTTCTGGTTTTAGGCTTGTCCGTCTCCTGGGCATGCACTCTCGGTGTGGCCTGCATGTCTTGGATGCCTCTGCAGGTGCTCAGGGCAGTGGCACCCACAAATACAGGGGAGTGGGTTCCCCTGGCACCGATGGACATGCAGGCCTGGGAGCCTTTGTGTGTGCCTCCCACTCTCCATCCCTGTCCTGGGGCCACTGCCGCCTCCTGCCCATCCTCCTGTCCTGGGTGAAGGTGGGGGCGGTTAGGGAGGGTGTGACAGCAGTGCTGCCCCAAGTGGGGATCTGACGGAGCTGTGCCACCTCAGGCAGGGGTCTGACGTTACTGTGCCACCTCGGGGAGGGGGTGGGGGCATCTGGTACTGCTGTGCCCACCTCAGGCAGGGGTGTGACACTGCTGTGCCATCTGGGGTGGGAGTCTGATGGATGTGTGCTGCTCCCGGCGGGGGTCCGGCACTGCCTGAGGCTCTGGCCCCTTGCCTTACAGACACCTATTGGACACTTCTGCTGTCCTTTCCCATGGAGGACAGAAGCTTGGTGGCCTTCCAAGAGGACCGGAGATGCCTGTCTGGAAGCCTCCCCATGCCAGTGCCAAGCGCCATGGAGTCCATCCGACCACCCTCCTGGGCCCACAGGCACCTGAGCAGAAAGAACGGGCTGTCTAAGCTGTGCCAGAGCAGGATGGCACTCTCGGGTATGACCCAAAGCTCCATGGGGTCTCTACTTGCCCTCACCTCCATGGGGTCTCATCTCCCCGAGGTCTCACCTCCACACGCCCTCACCTCCTCGAGCACTCACCTCCACAGGCTGGCTGTGCAGGCAGGGGGTCACTTGGTATCCCATGCCTACAGCCTGTGCCCAGCCATTGTACCGGGAACCTGTGGGCCACCCCCACCTTCCTGGTAGCTGTAGCAATTGCCTCCCCTCTGAGGTGTCCAGTGAGAGCAGAACTTCCTGTACTGTCCAACACTGGGCTGTGTCACAGGGGCCCTGGATGTGCCGAGACCCCACAGGTCCTGCACACAGATGGAGGGACCAGCCCCTTCCCCAGGGCAATGTCCACCGCCAGAGACCAGCTTGAGGGCCACCAGCCGCACAGGGGTGGGTGCTAGACGGGTAGGGCCGGGGCTACAGGCACCCATAAAGCTGTTGGGACCCATGGAGACGAAGCCAAAGGACAGTGTCTTGCTTCCTGAGGGAGGGTCAAGCCTTTGGGACCACAGAGGGACCCTGCAGCAGGACAGGCCGGGATGGGGGAAGAGGCCGGGATGAGGGAAGGGGTCGAGCAGAGCTGGTGCCCTGGGATGCAGAAAAATGAATCCCATGGAGGGGCGGAGGAACTGGGGGACCTGGGGAGGAGCCAGGGGCCTGGGGAGGAGCCAGGGGCCTGGGGAGGAGCCCGGAAGCCTGAAAGGGACTGAGGGACATGAGGAAGAGTTGGGGAACTTGGAGAGGAGTGGAGGGACCTGAAGAGGAGCCGGGGGCTGAGGAGGAGCCAGGGGGCTGAGGAGGAGCCAGGGGGCTGAGGAGGAGCCGGGGGCTGAGGAGGAGCCAGGGGGCTGAGGAGGAGCCAGGGGGCTGAGGAGGAGCCGGGGGCTGAGGAGGAGCCGGGGCTCTGGCTGTGATGGCTGTGCCTGGGTCTGGCCAAAGTCAGGCGCTTCGACTGGATCCTCCACATGAGTGATGGGCCCAAGCCCGTGGGCTGTCTTCCGCCGCTTCCCCAGGTGCATCAGCACAGGCCTGGGACCTGAGCCCCTTGCTCACATGGGCTACCGGCGTTGCAGGTGGCAGCTTTACCTGCTGCACCAAGCACTGGCCCCAGAGGGATGTTCCTAGCCACAGCTCCTGGTTGGGGAGCCTGGAGCAGATGCAGACACAACATGGGAGGAATGCTGCTCTGGGCTGTCGAGGCCCTGGAGGCTGTGACCGGTCCCTGGGTTCTGGGATGGGGCAGTGGCCCTGCAGGTGACCGAGCAATAAGTGCCTCTCCATCCCTGTAGAGGACAGGTGGAGCTCCTACTGCCTCTCGTCGCTGGCCGCTCAGAACATCTGCACCAGCAAACTACACTGCCCGCTGACGCCCGAGCATGCTGACCGGCCAGGCTCGTGCAGCAGTGCATCCTGCT